TACTTTAGGTGCCTCACTATATGCGCCATACTGGAGGCCTTGTTTCCAAACTAGGCAATGCTTAAGAAATATCATCTCTTTACTATCATCTAAGTATGAGTTCGATTTTTCACTGGTAATTCTTAAATCTATATGTTATTATATGTTATTATTACTGAATTTTATTGGATTCAAGACCAGTTCAAAACCAGAAATATATTTGTGAAATAGGTTATATGGGCTTTTTTCACTAATGCCCTCAAGAAAGGCATGAACAAGTTTCAACAGTTTTTGAACAACTCAGTGTGCTTAAATCCTCAGTCACGATGACATGTGACTTTGTACTACAACAACCATCGGCTTCAGAACGTTCACATCAAATCAATTCCACTCACGACTCTTGGGTCAACCTGTGGTATGGTTTACAGACACTTTCCAACGATGTCGCACATTGGGATCGCTTCCTTGATGCACACTGCTAGCGAGGAGGCCATGTTTACACTGTTACAGCAGAAGAAAATTGGCGCGACCAAACTTAAACGTCAATCACAATAGGACCAACTATTAGCACAAATGAACAGAAGGCAGCGTGACAAAATTAAAAAGATACGTTATGGCGAATGTGGTGTTAATTAGTGAATTACCATCGTAATTTTAAATAATCTATTAGGTTCAAGTCTTCAATGTAATAACCAAAGATTTTCAAACAATATGCCATGTGTATAGTAAAATCTACATATATAAACTGACTGTCTGTTTGTTATCGAACTCCTTGTAGGATTTTGGAGATAGACCCCCGCCCCCATAACCATATATATCCTAAAACTACATTATTCAGGGTACTTGGATAAATATATTTCATTTTAATCAAAGGGGGGGAGCCACCCCCGACACTGTTATTTTTCCTTTGATATAATTTTACATTTGAACAAAGGAATGTCCAAAATATAGGAGCAAGCCCGAAGATGGAGGTCACGTTGGCAAGATAAATATGAGACAATATGGACGACATGTTGTTATAGAGTGAACGAAAAATTTTCTTCCGCATGAATTACAAATCTCTCGTCGCCAATATGTTGTAGAGTAGTTTTCACATTGGAGGCTTGTATTTCGCTAAGTCGGTCCTAAAAGGGTCTAACGTACAAAACGTTAGGAACTAGAAATAAGAGTTAATGACGCAGCAATCTAGTTGTGATGGTTGATACTTCAATGTCCGACATCGACTGACTCACTCAACTCCACTGAGCTCAACTGGCCACTGCTACTACTACTAATTATCTGTGGGAGAGTCTATTACAATAGAATAGGTAATGTTCTGGTATAACACATGTTGAGCAAGAAATCACCAATCAGTGGGTAATAATACAATATATATTTGTTGTGACAATTCAACTGTCATATCAATGTCGAAATCTGCTCATCAATTCATTCAATCATGTATTGCATCAAATGTATATCAAAAGGGTCAGATCAAGCTGATTTTGCACAAGGGAATGACACCTAGTGTACTTGGATATGTATATTTCATTTTGATCTAAAGAGGGACCCGAGAAGAGAGGGCATCCCCAACATACATATACACTGATTTTTTTTCTCCCTTTGATTTAAATTAAATTGAAATTTGAACAAGGAAATTACTCCTATTCAAAATATAGAAGGAGAAAGCCAAAAGATAGAGGTCACATTGCCAAGACGATTGAGTAATGTTGAAATGCATCATTTTTAACTCCACAAATTATAAAAATGATTTAAAATCAATCATCATTTTCTTACAAAAAAAGTTGTGTGACACGCAGCGAGGCGCGGGTAATTCGGCTTGATATGAATATAAAATTGAATAAAAACTACTCAAAAATCCATTAGCCTATTTATCCTTTTTTTTTTTTTTTGCGGGACACGTAGAGACCTCATACGGAACTCTAGAGTTCAGGGGACACATTGGATAGGAAAGGCTGTTTCAACAACTCGTCCACGCGATAAATAATTCAATAATAATCCGATATATTACAAAAAACATAGACACTTGCTACTGAAATAATGTAGGAAATTGTAATATAATCAAATATTTAACATTGTAGCGTATCCATTTTGAAATTTCGAAACAGTTAAAATAAAATAATTATAGATGCATAACCATATAGTCAATATTTAAATATATCTGGGTATATACACTTATACAACACATGAGCAATTTGAGGTATTTCATAACAATCTAAATATTAAGATATTGATACATTGATATCTTAAACAGTAAGTATATCTATCTATCTATCTATCTATCTATCTATCTATCTATCTATCTATCATCTGTGACTCTTCACATCTATCTATCTTTCTATCTATCTATCTATCTATCTGTGACGCTTCACATCTATCTATCTATCTATCTATCTGTCATCTATCTATCTATCTATCTATCTATCTATCTGTGACTCTTCACATCTATCTATCTATCTATCTATCTATCTATCTATCTATCTATCTATCTATCTATCTCATTCTCTTCATTATCTACCCATAACAACCACATTAATATCTATCTATCTATCTATCTATCTATCTATCTATCTATCTATCTATCTGTGACTCTTCACATCTATCTATCTATCTATCTATCTATCTATCTATCTATCTATCTATCTATCTATAACTGTTCACATCTATCTATCTATCTATCTATCTATCTATCTATCTATCTATCTATCTATCTATCTCATTCTCTCTATAATCTATCTATAACAGCTAATTCAATATCTATCTATCTTATGATAGATAGATACGACTAGATAGATACGAAAAATTGAAAAAAGAAAGAACATTTTATTTCGCCAGAACAAAATCTGTCAGTAACACAGCGTATGGACGCTTGATTTTTCCTTTAACTGCATCACCTTTGTAAAGTGCCTGAAACCTTTACCACGATATAACCCAAGTATTTTCAGTGTAGGCGGTAGTCAAAACTGTTCAGAAGCCGTACATCGTTGTGCTAGACACCAACTCACAAGTCATCGTGTCCGAGGGCTTGAACGCTTTGGCGTTGTTCAAACCGCTGATCAACACATCGGTGTCGATCAGCGGTTTGAACAACGATCGCTCTCTGAAACTTGAGGCCCGTTCAGTATCGTTGCAGTATAAAAAACGTTTCCGACTATGTGGCTGATGAACAAGCACAAATATACCTGAGTAGGTGTCTGCAAAAGGTGTCGACCGGCCGACTGAGCAGACGGGTCTGTTTTAAAAATGGGAGTAGGCGACCATTATACAAGATTTGAAATAATTTCAAACGTGATATTTAAAAAAAAATATTTATGAGTATCTCATTGTTTCATATATATATATATATATATATATATATATATATATATATATATATATATATATATATATATATATATATATATATATATATATATATTCCTGTATGTATGTATGTATTTGTTTAATAAATACTACTTATGATACCATAAATGATATCTCAAAAATGTATATATATATATATATATATATATGCTTCATTGAACATACCAATAAAGAGATATATATATATATATATATATATATATATATATATATATATCGAGTCTAGAAGAATTCTCAACAGAATGTAGAAAGCACTGGACGGCCTTATCGTCCCATTTCCGGGAATCATCAGCAGTGCGCATCCATTACCGAGAATCGAACCCGGACCGTTACGATATGACGCAAGCGTCATAACCACTGAAGAGAGTTAAAAAAAAAAATAGTCATATAAATAGAACGAGACGGCCGTCCAGTGCTTTCTGTATTCTGTTGAGGATTCTTCTAGACTCGACGAATTCAAATCTCCCTTAATTTATATATATATATTGTTCATACATACATACATACATAGACACATGCATATAGCGGGTGTAACAGCAAAACTGTCCAAATCGTGTAACAACAAAATTGTCCAATTGTTAGATTATGTTCTGAACTGTTGTATCTTAGAAATGATTAAAGATATCTTATTGGAATTCTCCGAAGTTTTTATAACACTGTTGGACTCTACTTTAATCAATGATTACGTATAATTACTTTCTTAACAGAAGAACTGTGATGAAATCGAACATAAACGAAAATGACATGTTCGCCATTAATCAATTATAGCTAAGGCTTGGAAGCTCATGGAGGATTGATATAAAGTTCACACACACACACACACACACACACACACACACACACACACACACACACACACATATATATATATTATTTCAGGATCATTTTCCAACTTATTCAAGATAATCTTCGTCCTCTTTAGCCTTCTAACTTTCTGTCCTGGAGTAACAAGGTGCTTCACACGTTTCACGTACGATTTCATTTTCAAGTCTTTTTTCACTGCTCATAGCTGAAACTTATCTCTTACGTGTCAAATGTCTTATGAATCGAGTTGGATCTTTTCTAATTGCTCTCTTTAGCTCTAAGTTGAAATGGTCATCCGTCTTCCTGTTGTGATCTCCAGGTTTCTCTCTACTCTTCCGTCTTTTTTTAAACTTATTCACTGATCTCTTGATGGTTCTTGAATGTACATTGAAGATGGAAGCCGGAGTATGAATTTTGGTACCATTACTGAAGATCTGAATCATACTGTTCCTCTCACCATTGTTCATTTGGGAAGACAGCGAGGCTGATACAAAACGATTTTAACCTGTTCTCTTTCTAGCTGAATAGTTCAAAGGGTTTTTCAGTGATTCTTACGACAAATGGTGTCAAGATGGCTAAACGTCGTCTCTGAAAAACCTGGAAAAACGAAATTTAATTAATTTACTGTCTTTTTAGATATTATAGATTTGGACAATTTTGCTGTTACACCCGGTATATATACAGGGTGCGATGGGTAAATTGTCGCCATTTTATATTTTCAATTTCGCGTTGTTTGTTTTTGATTTTATCGACTGCACAGTATAGTAAGGTCAGTTGGGCACCATCTGTGAGAAAAAGAGCGCCATGATGCAAATCACTCCACCAGAAATTTGGAAATGGCATGCAGTACTTCTTGGCATTCGCACCGGAAGCTCCAGTACGAACATTTCAGAATGTTGGTGTGTCAATCTGAGGAAAGTGCAGAGGATTCTGAAAGAGTTGGATGGGTTTAATTGAGATTACGAAGATATTTGGAGTGGTCACTAGAGATGGTGACCTTATGCCTCGATCCATTTTCCCACAGTGCCTCAGACTCAACACGGAGGTCTACATCAACTGCCTTGAGAAGGTAGGGCCGCACTGGTTCAAGAGGGGGGGCGGCTGGAGGACCCAATGTCTGTCATCAGGACTCAGCACCATGTCATACAAGCAGGAGAACACAGTCATGGCTGTCAGACAATTTACGCGACAACAGACTATGTGTGGGCCACAGGTAAGCGAAAGACCATCAAAACTTCTTTTTTATGCTAGACGCAATCGTCAGCATGAAATAGTCTGTCGCCTCTGAGTGGTGATTTCAATGATCACTTTTATATTTACATACGCTCTATCTCTGATCTTTATCCCATACATATAGCCCACCAGAAATATTACTTTATATATATATATATATATATATATATGTGTGTGTGTGTGTGTGTGTGTGTGTGTTTGTGTGCGTTTGTATGATAAAAACATACATAAACATACATATACTTGCACGTACGTATAAATATATTTCTTCCACAGGTATTATAAAAAGAGTGCTTAATGTTATAAGTATGTGTTATTGAATATACATAATATCCAACATCGATAGCACGATGAGGATTTTCATGCAGTTGCTGTAATCTTCAAGCGTAAATATTTGCACCTGAGGATTGCAGAAACTGCATGAAACTCCAAGTCGGGCTACCGACGTTGGATATCATGTATATTCACTAATACACACACACACACACACACATATATATATATATATATATATATATATATATATATATATATATATATATATATATAAGTGTGTTTTATATATATATATATATATATATATATATATATATATATATGATACCATTTTGATATCACGGGTTGTATTTAACAAAGAAATACGTCACAATTTTCATATATATCATATAAGTATATATATGTGTATCAATTTTCTTATTAAGTAAATGCGCATATTTAAATGCATCGATAATCATTTTGCATGGAACTGTTTAGTATTTCGTAAATAAATACGTATCGGTGTCGAATTTTATTTTCCTCTTTTATTTCAGTAATGTGTCCATATAAATTGTGCTAACCCGGGTAGTATTTATTAGCTTATATATATATATATATATATATATATATATTTATATATATTTATAATATATATATATCATTTTATATTTAAATACGGAGTCACTCTTTCGTTCGTGCGCATGTAAAGGACGATGTGCATCACACGAAAACATTTTCCTCCTTGTCAACCTTCTTTCCCCAATATATATATATATATATATATATATATATGTGTGTGTGTGTGTGTGTGTGTGTGTATATATAATTTAGTAGATAATAGTAATATATATACATGCTCTTCGTTATTTTAGTGTGTGCGTATGTGTCAAACAGAATACATAAAAAATAACAATATGTCGGATTTAATCCATTTCTCAAAAATAAATTGTCTTTGTTTACGTTTGGATATGATACGGAGCAGATATGGATATTTCGAGAATCGACAGAGAAATGTATTTAAAAAGGCACTACTCGTGCTTCTTTGATTGGAAGTCCTACGTGGCCGAGCGGTTCGGCATGTCAGATCTAATGACGGTTACCCATATGACGACGGAGGACGCCTATTTCTCTGGCAAGATTTCTCGAATATTCAGGCCAGTAGATTTAGTTGGATAAAAAATACTGTTTAATTAAAAAAAACAGAGCTACTCAAATATGAGTATCCATAAAAATGACATTTAATCAAAAGAAATTAAAAATATACACTCACACATATATATATATATATATATATATATATATATATATATATATATATATATATATATATATATATATATATATATATATATATATATATATTCCTCAATCCAAGCCGATATCCATTACTCTACCGTGCCTCCTAATCCAGGTTGAACCCATTACATTCACTTACGTGCTAATACCCTTGGGAAAGGTGTGAATCCTCTTATTCTCCCTCCAGCTATGGGTAAAATAGCAGGACAGACTGGGTTCTATAGCCTTGGATGGCAACTGGTCTAGGAGAAGGACAACCCTGAATTCAAAACCTGCGGAGGGTCGTTTGGGAACCTTGTGGCACGTAGTGCACCAGGTCTCTGTATTCGGCTCTTCAAAAAGTGAGGATGGTCCTGCACGAAACCTTCACCACTACAATCATATCTCATGTGCTGTTGTCGGGCTGTCAGTTTCCTGCAAACTGATCTGCTTGACCCTCATACGTCGAACGCGACGAGAGAATCGATTTACATATATATATATATATATATATATATATATACAATATGAGTAGATAAGTTCGCTTTTCATTCGGTTCACACTGATCTCCGGTCTTTTGAACAGCTGTAAATA